TCATTGTTGCACTTTGCACTTTTCTCCCTGCCCAGCCCTCCCCCAGTACACTCTTCTCTTTGAAAAGTAAAAAAAAAAAAAATTCTTTCATTGTTTTACAATCCCTCCTCCCAGGTCTACTCCACTATGCAGCCTTCGCTCTGGACTCCTGTCACAACAAAAATACCTAATTCATTTTAAACAGTTAGTTCTCTCCCTCATCTGTTTTAATGCAGTATACGTTATTTATCCCATCTTTCTCAGTCTCCCCCTAACCCCGATGTCAGTCCTGTTTTACAACAGTTGCACCATACAGTATCTGTCCTTTTGTGACTGAGATATTTCCTCAGCATAATGTCCTCCAGGGTCACCCATTTTGGATAATATTGCATGAGTTCCTTATTTTTCAATGCAGCATAGTATTCCATTGTGTGAATATACCACAGCTTCACTATCCATTCGTTTGTTGATGGGCACTTGGGTTGTTTCCAACTCCTTGTTATTGTGAACAAAGCTACGATAAACATGGGTGTGCATTTATCTGCTTGGGTGTCAGTTATGGTCTCTTTGGGGTATATTCCCAGTAGTGGAATGGCTGGGTCAAATGGTATCTATTTGCAACTTTTTGAGAAAGCGCTATACTGCCTTCCACAGTGTTTGCACCATTTTACACTTTCACCAACAGTGAATAAGGGTTCCAGTTTTTCTACAATCTCACCAGCATTTGTTGCTTGCTGTTCCATTTAGTTTTGCAATTCTGACTGGGGTGAGATGATATCTCATAGTTGTTTTGTATTTATCAATTTTTTAAAAAATTAATAACTATTAAATGGATTTTCTATCACTGTTAGGATAATCATTTAGATTTCTTTTTATTTTGTTTTTATGATGAATTGCATTGGTTGGTTTTACTTTAAAATCTTAAATTAAAAAAATGTTGAGTTAAAGTTTACAAAGCATTTGTTTTCAAAATATGTGAAGGGAAAGACAATACACAAAAAGGGTGTGAGACATGCACACTCATGTTTACTGTGGCTTTGTTTGCAGTAGCAAAGAGCTGGAAACAACCCAAGTGCCCATCAATCAACTAATGGAAGAGAAGCTCTGGTATATTCACACAATGGGATACTATGCAGCATTGAAAAACAAGGAACTCATGAAATATTATCCAAAATGGATGACCCTGGGAGACATTATGCTGAGTGAAATATCTCCGTCAAAAAAGGAAAAATATTGCATAGGGCCACGGTTGTAAAACGGGACTGACATCAGGGTTGAAGGAAGACCGAAAAGGAGGGAAGGAATGATGTATATTGCATTGAAACAGCTGAGGGAGAGAGCTGTTAAAAAGGAATATATGAATGGGTATTCTTTTTTTTTTTTCGCGGCCCTGAAAAGGGCTTTTTTTTGGTAGTTATGACTGATTACTCAACCTCCGAAGCCATAGAGGGTGCGTCCCTGGCGCTTGAGCGCGTAGACCACGTCCATGGCGGTGACAGTCTTGCGCTTGGCGTGCTCGGTGTAGGTGACGGCGTCCCGGATTACGTTCTCCAGGAACACCTTCAGCACCCCGCGGGTCTCCTCGTAGATGAGGCCGGAGATGCGCTTGACGCCGCCACGCCGAGCCAGGCGGCGAATGGCGGGCTTGGTGATGCCCTGGATGTTATCTCGGAGCACTTCATCCCATCACCGTTTCACGTCTTAACTCTCCCAAAATCCTGCTTCATGGTCTTTAAGACAACGGAAATAAAAATGCTTTCTACACTCGCAAGAAGCACCAGCAGGCATGCTGGGACAGGAGGGAAGGAGGGAAAGGAGAAATGTTGATGGGCTGAGAGGCACACCCGGGCCCGGCAGGGGTTCTGCTGTGCTTCCTCTCAGGACTTTCTGAGGGAGCTCTGGCGGCACTATCCAGGCGAGCGCTGGTGGCCCCAAGGCTGCGCCTCTCCAGGGGTCCCACTCTCCCGGGCGGCTTGTTGGGAAGAAGTGGGGGATCTCATCCCATAACTGACAGCCCAAGAAGAGAAAGTCAGCTCTGCAGTGGAACCTACTTGACGAACGACGACAATGACGATGGCGGGTCTTTCTGAGTCAATGGCAATAAGCAAACTGTAGTTGTTGCCGAGTACCGTCAAGTCAGAACTGACCCACAGCTGACCCTCCACGGGTTTTCAGAGTTAGTCAAAGATGGGAGGAGACTGGCCATCTTTCTCCCACAAAACCACTTACAGAACAGGA